CGTTTGTCATGCCTTGATAATCATCCAAGCTTCGATTTACTTCTTGCATGTTGTTATCAACCCAGATCTGCTCAATAAGGCCATTTAAAGCTTCTTGCATATTCCTAGCAGAGCTCACGTGACTGGACCTCCTTGGGTGTGTAATGGATCACATGACGTAGTAGATATGCTGTCGTCTTGATTCCCATCATTCCCTCTCTCCTCAAGGATTTGTCTTCAAATCGTCACCTACATCAAAAGGAGAAAGATCAGAAACATTAAAAGTAGCACTAACATTATACTCACCAGGAAGCTCCAACTTGTATGCATTGTCATTAATCCTCGCAATCACTTGAAATGGTCCATTGCCTCTTGGTTGCAGCTTAGAATGCCTTTGTGCAGGGAATCGCTCCTTGTGCATATGCACCCAAACCCAATCTCCAGGTTCAAATACAACTTTCTTGCGTCCTTTGTTGGCTTGTTTTGCATACTGCTCAGTTCGTCGCTCTATGTTTTGTTGCACCCTCTCATGCAGTTGCTTAACCGTTTCAGCTTTCTTTTTCCCATCCAAACTAGCTTGTTTGTCAATAGGTAAAGGCAATAAATCTAAAAGAGTGAGTGGATTAAAACCATACACAACTTCAAATGGTGAACAGTTAGTTGCTGAATGGATGCTCCGATTATAAGCAAATTCAATGTGCAGCAAACACTCTTCCCAGTTCTTTAAGTTCTTCTGAATAATAGAACGCAATAAGGTTGACAACGTCCTATTAACCACTTCTGTTTGTCCATCAATTTGTGGATGACAAGTAGTTGAAAACAGTAGCTTAGTTCCCAACTTTCCCCACAATGTCTTCCAAAAGTAACTCAAGAACTTGACATTGCGATCAGAAACGATGGTCCTTGGAATGCCATGTAAACGAACAACGTCCTTGAAGAATAGATCCACAATATTGGTTGCATCGTCAGTTTTATGACATGGAATGAAGTGTGCCATCTTCGAGAACCTACGAGATAATGCATCAGCCACAATGTTTTCCTTTCCTTGCTTATACTTGATCACATAGGGAAACGTCTCAAGGAATTCCACCCATTTAGCATGTCGTCTATTCAACTTACCTTGTCCCTTCAGGTGCTTCAACAACTCATGATCAGTATGTACCACGAACTCCTTAGGCCAAAGATAATGCTGCCATGTCTCTAAAGCTCTTACCAATGCATACATCTCCTTGTCATAAGTAGGATAGTTCAGTGCTGCACCAGTTTTCACTGAAAAACACAATAGGTCGTCGCTCTTGCATCAAAACAGCACCAATGCCAATACCTAATGCATCACATTCAATTTCAAAAGTTTTAGTAAAATCAGGTAAAGCAAGTAACGGTGCAGAAATTAGGTTTTCCATAATTAAATTGAAAGCATTCTCCTGTTTACTTTCCCACTTAAGTCCAACACTTTTTTTCACAATTTCAGTTAACGGTGCTGCAATTGTGCCGAAATCCTTGATGAATCTCCGGTAGAAACTCGCAAAACCATGAAAACTCCGCACCTCAAAAATATTTTTAGGTGTTGGCCATTCTTTAATAGCCTTAACCTTTTGTTCATCTACTGCAATTCCATCAGCTGAAACAACATACCCTAAAAAAACAATCTGATTTGTGCAAAAGGAACACTTTTTAAGGTTAGCAAACAACTTTTCTTTTCTCAACACCTCTAGTACCATTCACACATGCTCAATATGTTCAATTAAACTCTTGCTATATATCAGAATGTCATCAAAATAGACAACCACAAATTTGCCAATGAAAGCACGCAAAACATGATTCATTAATTGCATGAATGTACTAGGCGCATTAGTTAATCCAAATGGCATAACTAACCACTCATATAAACCATGTTTCGTTTTAAAGGCTGTTTTCCATTCATCTCCTTCCTTCA